AACAATATGACAAATGCACACCAATCGGTCGTATATAAGGATGTGATATAGTCAACCAACAATATGACATATGCACACTAATCGGTCGTATATAAGGATGTTATATACTCACCCAACAATATGACACATGCAAACTAATCTGTTGTATATAAGGATGTGATATAGTCACCCAACAATATGACACATGCAAACTAATCGGTCGTATATAAGGATGTGATATAGTCACCCAACAATATGACATATGCACATTAATTAAACGTATATAAGGATGCGATATAGTCACCCAACAATATAACATATGAATATCATTCGAACGTATATAAAGATGTGACATAGTCTACCAACAATATGACAAATGCACACCAATCGGTCGTATATAAGGATGTGATATAGTCAACCAACAATATGACATATGCACACTAATCGGTCGTATATAAGGATGTTATATACTCACCCAACAATATGACACATGCAAACTAATCTGTCGTATATAAGGATGTGATATAGTCACCCAACAATATGACACATGCAAACTAATCGGTCGTATATAAGGATGTGATATAGTCACCCAACAATATGACATATGCACATTTATCGGTCGTATATAAGGATGTGACATAGTCTACCAACAATATGACAAATGCACACCAATCGGTCGTATATAAGGATGTGATATAGTCAACCAACAATATGACATATGCACACTAATCGGTCGTATATAAGGATGTTATATACTCACCCAACAATATGACACATGCAAACTAATCTGTCGTATATAAGGATGTGATATAGTCACCCAACAATATGACACATGCAAACTAATCGGTCGTATATAAGGATGTGATATAGTCACCCAACAATATGACATATGCACATTTATCGGTCGTATATAAGGATGTGATATAGTCACCCAATAATATGACATATGCACACTAATCGGTCGTATATAAGGATGTGATATAGTCACCCAACAATATGACATATGCAAACTAATCGGTCGTATATAAGGATGTGATATTGTCACCCAACAATATGACATATGCACACTAATCGGTCGAATGTACGTACGAGTCACCGAACAATACGTTAATGTGAGCGCGCATGTAGTGTTTAATACATCATGTAGTAGTAGTACCTGTGGTGTTAAATACCTCGTGTAGTAATGCACTTGTTTAATACGTCATGCAGCAGTGCCTGGTGTGTTTAATACATCATATAGGAATGCGTGTGGTATTTAATACGTAGGAGTACTTGATACATGTTATTGGAGTGCGTCCTTTAGGAGTCACTTTGTGTTTCATGCGTATTATTGAAGTACGTCCTTTATGAGTGCCTGTGGTGTTTACGTCACACAGGAGTACACGTAGTGTTTACAATGCCCTATACGATTGCCTGTAGTGTTTAATACTTCATGTGGGGGCACGGGTGACCCAGTCGTCTAAGGCGCCGCGATTCGCTGTGCAGAGTTGCGTCCCTTGGACACACCAGAAACCTATGATTGTGGGTTCGAATCCCGGTTCGCCCTGACTATGTTTCTAGGTTTGTCAGCACCATACCCGTGCTCGTGGGTTTCGCCGAAGTGGTAAACGTCTGAGACCTGCATCACTTCGGGCTTTCCTCCCACATTAAGCTGACACGCTGTGATAAAACTGGAATATTGTTAAAAGCGGCGTTAAACCCAACTCACGCACTAATTAATACTTCATGTATAAGTTGGAGCGCATGAAGCACCTACGGTTTTTGAATAGTGTCCGAGAAAATATACATCGTTTATTGCAGCGCTGCTAAACCGAACTCGCCTCAGACACCAGCACCAGTAGATGACGTTCGCGGGCGGTCGGTCGTTACCATCACTGCTTGATGCACAAACTTAAACTTTAATGCAGCGGTAAGCCAAGGTATAAATGCATCGTGACTTGTAGCATATGAGATTTCTTACACATTGCTGTATACCCTTTACACGTGTACTATTGGCTGCTGTGCCATGATCACCTTTGATTTCAGAGTTAGAGCCCTGTTGTTTAACTGCCTCAGTTCTTTTCTAAGTACTTATACTGATGAGAAAGAACATCTGACATTTAACCATCGATGAAAGACAGTTGTGTGTGACATGGTACTTGGAGAGCTTTATGTGATCTATCGAAGGGTTATTATCATACTAGATTAGACGGAAGACAAGGAGAGATCAGCTAATGCCAAGACGAGTTATTGTATCATTTGAAAGTATTTGTCTTAAAGGAAGACGGTGGTCGGCGTCTTGAGCTGATGGTTGGTCGTCGCCTTGAGTTGACGGGCAGTAGTCGTCTTGAGTTGATGGTTGGTCGCCTTGGGTTGATGGCTGGTCGCCTTGGGTTGATGGGAGGTCGACGCCTTGAGTTGACGGGCAGTAGTCGTCTTGAGTTGATGGTTGATCGCCTTGGGTTGATGGGAGGTCGACGCCTTGAGTTGATGGTTGGTCCTCGTGGTGTTAACGATGTTGTTGGGTTCCTAGCTGTCCCTGCTTGAACGCCCTATTGATAGTGATGCTGATGTAATAGACTGTTGCCAGGACCCAAGGTACATACGCCTTCTGCTACACGTTCACCTCCTCCAAATAAGCCTATGCATTTGTATTTCATTGTGTTACTCCCAGATGAACTTAAGTTGCTGAGAGTAATTTCATCCTTATCACGGCGAATGTGCTTCACACATTGCATCCACGTGAGGGATCGAACCCGAGACTTCGGTATGACATAGAAATGACAAGAAATTATGGTCAGGAACATCTCGGAATCGATGAAAGATAAACTGCTCATGAAACAGCTGCTTACTTATACCACACATGAACCCATGTGCTTGGGTCAGACGCATGGTGTGTTTTATACATGTAATGTCTGACACGTGTTGAGATGAGTTGATCCCGTACTCCTTAGAACAAAGAATCAGAGCTTAACGTCATCATACAATTTACACTGTGCATTAATGACGTAGCGCGCTCTCTCTCTGTATATCATAAGGAGAATTCCCACACCTCAGTGATAGTAATGAAGTAGCTTCTCTTTAAAACAAGGTACCAAGGATCAAGACATTAATTCAAAATTGCAGAATAATGGGCCAAAGTTGGGTTTTCATCGTGGATGCGCTGAGGCATTGTCATGTGCAAATGCCGAACTTTTAAAAAGCCGTGGGAAATCGTACATACATCACGCTGTCACAAAAGCTGATCAGTCTGTCGGGATGGTCAGATATAGGTCGCAGTAGCAGCCTTGTGGAAAACAGAACCTCTGGAATAATGTTGGATGTCGAGACAATCACAGAGAAGCCTTGAAGAGTGTCAGAGTCGACCTGTTTCCGAGAAGAAGGTGCTAGCAGTCAAAAATGCATCTGGAGAGAAGAGGATTACGTAATCAGAAGGCGGAGGGTCAAATGTTAAACTATGACAAAACCGAACATCTCTAGATGTTGAAACCATTTTGAAATAATTAACAGATCTCGGTGCCATACAATTATGTGTGTACGCTGAAAGCACAACGGTATTCCCTAAGTAACCTGGAGATCAACCTGATGGTACCTACCGTTTGGCCGCCTCGAAGTTATGGAATAAATAGAAAATATAGTTATTTTAAATATTTTGTGGTGTTTGAAAAATAGAGATGTTTTGTAACACATTCTTACAAGGTCGGTGAACTTAAAATAGAAATAAGATATAGATAGAAACGTGATTGATTCAATCAGCTGATATATACATCAGTACACCACATCGCTATACAGGTGATCACGGGGAACTCGTTGAAGAGGAACGAATGAATCACATGTATTTCGGTCGACCATAAACCTATTTAAGAAAGGCACACGCACCAGCAGATGGAGGACATATGTCACCTGTCGTGTTATTGTTTACGTGCTACGCTTTCGCGGAATACGCTTTTCCAAGATGTCATAACATGACGTCACCGGTTCCTGCGTACGCCACTGTAACGCAGTCAGAAATAAACTCTATGAACGGCAAGACGTGTTTTCACTGAGTTAGCTGGAAGTAGATTTTCAACACATAACATCGCCCATAAAACCTTATACTGGAATGGAGAAACCGCATGCTAACTTTCTGTGTAGAGGGCACAATAAATTAAAGAAGAAGTAAACCTCAGTTTGAAGAGACTACTACAACTACAACAACTATTATTACTACATCCGCTGTTGGTACTACTACTACTACTACTACTACTAATACTACTACTACTACTACTACCACTACAAACATAATATATAAATTGTTTTTTGAAAATATGTTGATCATGCCGTTTTTATGTCAAGGAGAAGAATTAAACCTCGGTTTAAAGAAATGCCATTTAAATAAAACATGGACAAATTATGTCTATCGGAGCCATCGTTTTGAAGGTATTAGTAAGCGTTGGGAATCTATTCAGTCGGTTAATAAAAATGTAAATGCTTGGGTGTAACGTTGCTTGGAACAACATTTAGTCACATATCATGGCGTTCTGTGGTGGTGGACACAAATTATGCACAAAACATAACTTACGTGAGTGGGTCAGATTTTCGCCGCTTAAAAGGTAGTTCAGTTATAAATATTCACAAAGTGGCGGTTTATGTGGGAAGAGAGCAAAATAACGCCGTTGATATTGACGTTTACTATTTCGGTGAATACGGTGCTGACAGACCAAGATCTAACACGGATTCGAACCCTCAACCAAAGTACCCTAGAAGATAAGGGAGACAATTCTGCGCAGCACAGTATATTGCGTTAGGCTATAATCAAGGGGTCCCCGGTCACAACTCTTATATCACCACCCAATGTATACATTATTGTGTTATCAGTCTATAAGTTGATCATAAAACTAATTACGCAATGTCGATATGCCAGTTTTCGTATTTAATAAGATAGAATATTAAATGTACATGTTCAGTAATTTAACAATTATCTTGTTAAACCGTCTGTGAGCGAAATGAAACGGCGGTCAAAGGGAGGCTACTCTATTTCTTGGACGGGAAGTTGAGAGGCAGCCATTAGAGGCAGGGAAAGGTCGGTGTGCAGGGTGACATAATTTGACATGGGTACACATCCCTCTCCATCACGATTATTTCGTTAATTCATTGCAAACTGTTGAGCCGTGTTTTTGTCATGCTTCATGCAAAGTATATTGATGTTTGAGTGGAGTAGTGTTTACTGTGAGACGGAAGATCATGCAGTCGTGAAGGTCGTCACGATCCTCAGACATGAACATATAATTTCGTGATAATAAATTATGGAGGGAAGATTCACATTGATAGTGTTGACAACATTTAGCTTGGAGTCGTCCTAACTGCAAACAATACTGCATATGAAGCCTGAGTGCGTCAAATATACGAGGAAATTGTAGAGATTTGCTGTTGTCACAGAGTACGTGAATCATCTTACCGGTGTATTTATAGCGATGATCCTGATATTGTAAAGACATTATGAGTTTACTGTAGAGTCTTTGCCCTTTTCATATCTAATTGTCATTGGCTATTTACATACTCCACTATGTACAATGCACCGCCATATAACTGAAATGTTGAGCGTGCAGCGTTGACTAACAAACCCACAAACTCCAAGTGCCATGTGATCACGCATACCTCTTAGCAGTACAGTTATACAAATGACATTTGTTTTATACTCTCTGGTGTCATCAGTGATGACCTTAACATATTTCAATCTTTATTGTGAATAAGAAATTTTATTTTTGAATTTGTTGCCTATTGGCAGTTTCGCAGAAATATGCAGCCAGTGCTTTCTGGCTGAACTATTGGAGCACCTTTAGAATACAGTACCACAACTTCTTGTGAGGATGATTACTTCTGTAGGTCACATGTCTCAAAGTCAAGCAACCAGTTTTTGTGAGAATCTATTGGACGCGAACTTGCGACCTTCGGATTGTTAGCCCAACAGCTAACTGACTGAGCTACGTCCACACTGTGAAACTAACTGCAAATTTACCTAGTGATGCCTATGACGTAACGGAACTGAACGAAAAGAGTCGGTTGACAGACACAAAGGTTATGAGTAGGCATGGTGTCTCGTAACCTTAGTCTACGGACACTTACGAATGATCCCGATGCCATTTGGCATACTCGTTCAATTCCGTATATATCAAAAATAAAAGTGCTTCCGTAAACTAACGCATGCTCTGAAATGCGCGGCTGCAAGCTATATTTAGTAAACAAATAATAAAAACTCTCCACACAGCTGGGTGTATTCAGTAACATTGCGTGTAGAGATGATAGATCACTGGGAGGAGCTTATGCACACTGGCAACAAAATACTGCAAATTACGTCATAGGGTATTGTCACATGTTTGAAAAGTAGGGAGTAGTGCACTTTACCGGGTTCACTTTTTCAGATCCAATTAGCGCTGTGGGGGCTCGAAAGCGCTTCACCGGCTCTGCTAATTAATGCGTTAATTAGCCGACGCTCTACCACTGGACCACAGGCGCTATCACATGTAATCAGTGCTCGTTTAACAGGTCATTAGAATCCCCATTGACATGCATGCGTAATTCAGTAAACAATGAATTGCGCATGCGTGTGACGTCACTGCCCGCACTCCCATTCATCTTTTCTTGAAATCACACCCGCAATTGTTTATGTCAACATGACCGACCAATGGGATTAACTGGATTAACGCTTGAAAGGTAAGAATTTATGGCTAACCCTTGCCCAAAGCCAGCTGACCCTAATGACCGAAAAGGGGTTTTGGATCGTAAAGACGTGTAAGTTTCCCTAAGACCGAAAACGGGTGTTGGATCGTAAAGACGTGTAAGTTTCCCTAAGACCGAAAAACGGGTGTTGGATCGTAAAGTTGTGTAAGTTTCCCTAAGACCGAAAAACGGGTGTTGGATCGTAAAGTTGTATAAGTTTCCCTAAGACCTAGAACGGGTGTTTGATCGTAAAAATGTGTAAGTTTCCCTAAGACCGAAAACGGGTGTTGGATCGTGAAGCGAGAGTCACCAGAGCGTGAGGCACGGTAATGGTATAACGAGACAGCGGTGGCACTATAGCACGGTAATTGAGCGGATGGTAGAGCTCGGGCCCCGCTCGGTAAACTGCATTGTTGCCGTAAAGTATGTGGTACTGTATTCTAAAGGTAGGCCGAACTATCCTAGTGCATCGATAGAAACTAACATTTGTAGTCCACTAGGCCTTATATTGATAACATATAGCAAAACCCTTAAAAAGGTCAAATTTCTACTAGTCCTTGTGATACCTTAACTACTGGGCACTTTGGCAAGTATTACAGGACTAGTGCCAATTTCAAACACTGGCCTAGTGCAATCCAAAGGTTTTTAAGAAGGGACCTTTCATCTAGTTTTGGATGATAAACAAGAGACTTTATAAGCTATTTCCCTTTAACTGATATGGTAAATAATTGTTTCACTCACCAGGCAATTTTGTTCGTATCAAATCCAAGAGCAGATATGATAATACTCTTGACTCTTACTGGTAGGGATGAAAGTGAACAGGTAGCATGCCTGTAGCATGTTGTACACAACTGAATTTATGTTACAGCCAAACTGAAACCGGTTTCATGCATTGTTAATTTAGATTCCTAACTCCCATGCTGTACATATTGCCAAGTTGGCTTGCATTTGTGTTAGGGCTGGGACGAGTCCAAATTTACTACCCGGGTACCAGGCCACCTATTACCCATGATCCCAAAAGATAAGGGGTATGGGTTGGTAGGTAGGGTGTACAGTGATATTTGAACACCTGAAACAAGGGTATCATTCACTTACTTTACTTTACTTTCATGTGTACTGTACATGCTGTAAGCAAGTTAGAATGTATGGGTGAAATGTTCCCCCCAGTGTTCTGTGTAGTGCTTGCTCTGCTTGCAGGTGAAGCAGTGTTGTCAACATGAGCAAGGCTTGGCTGATAGAGGAACCTGCTACACTCTGACTGAATTCTAGGTAATTAAGGTGAGACCAAACAAAACAGTAATATTTCCAGTATTTATCTTGTTTCAGCACTACACTTTCTAAGGGGTGTTGAGATGGCTGATTAGTTAGGGTGTTTTTTTATCATAACAGGAACACTGGCATGTCTGCCAATATTAGTATCCCTGTTGAGGTAGTGCTGGTGTCCTCTGTTGAGGTAGTGCTGGTGTCCTCTGTTGAGGTGGTGCTGGTGTCCTCTGAGGTAGTGCTTGTGTCTTCTGTTGAGGTAGTGCTAGTGTCTTTTGTTGAGGTGGTGCTCGTGTCCTCTGTTGAGGTAGTGCTGGTGTCCTCTGTTGAGGTGGCGGTGGTGTCCTCTGTTGAGGTAGTGCTGGTGTCCTCTGTTGAGGTAGTGCTTGTGTCCTCTGTTGAGGTAGTGCTGGTGTCCTCTGTTGAGGTAGTGCTAGTGACTTCTGTTGAGGTGGTGCTGGTGTCTTCTGTTGAGGTAGTGCTGGTGTCCTCTGTTGAGGTAGTGCTGGTGTCCTCTGTTGAGGTAGTGCTTGTGTCCTCTGTTGAGGTAGTGCTGGTGTCCTCTGAGGTAGTTTTGGTGTCCTCTGAGGTAGTGCTGGTGTCCTCTGTTGAGGTAGTGCTGGTGTCATCTGAGGTGGTCCTCGTGTCCTCTGTTGAGGTAGTGCTGGTGTCCTCTGTTGAGGTGGCGCTGGTGTCCTCTGAGGTAGTGCTGGTGTCTTCTGTTGAGGTAGTGCTTGTGTCTTCTGTTGAGGTGGTGCTGGTGTCCTCTGTTGAGGTAGTGCTTGTGTCCTCTGAGGTAGTGCTGGTCTCTTCTGTTGAGGTAGTGCTGGTGTCTTCTGTTGAGGTAGTGCTGGTGTCCTCTGTTGAGGTAGTGCTGGTGTCTTCTGTTGAGGTGATGCTGGTGTCCCCTGTTGAGGCAGTGCTGGTGCCTTCTGTTGAGGTAGTGCTGGTGTCCTCTGAGGTAGTGCTGGTGTCCCCTGTTGAGGTAGTGCTGGTGTCTTCTGTTGAGGTAGTGCTGGTGTCCTCTGTTGAGGTAGTGCTGGTGTCTTCTGTTGAGGTAGTGCTGGTGTCCTCTGTTGAGGTAGTGCTGGTGTCCTCTGTTGAGGTAGTGCTGGTGTCCCCTGTTGAGGTAGTGCTGGTGTCTTCTGTTGAGGTAGTGCTGGTGTCCTCTGAGGTAGTGCTGGTGTCTTCTATTGAGGTAGTGCTGGTGTCCTCTGTTGAGGTGGCGCTAGTGTCCTCTGTTGAGGTAGTGCTGGTGTCCTCTGTTGAGGAAGTGCTGGTGTCCTCTGTTGAGGAAGTGCTGTCGTCCCCTGTTGAGGTAGTGCTGGTGTCTTCTGTTGAGGTAGTGCTGGTGTCCTCTGAGGTAGTGCTGGTGTCCCCTGTTGAGGTAGTGCTGGTGTCTTCTGTTGAGGTAGTGCTGGTGTCCTCTGAGGTAGTGCTGGTGTCCCCTGTTGAGGTAGTGCTGGTGTCTTCTGTTGAGGTAGTGCTGGTGTCATCTGTTGAGGTAGTGCTGGTGTCTTCTCTTGAGGTAGTGCTGGTGTCCTCTGTTGGTGTTTTCTGTTGAAAAAATAATCTTTAATCACTGTAATGGTCTACCAAGCACTATCATCAATACATATCTATGAAAATAACATATTAATACATTAATTCTTGCACTAATGTAGCAAAATAAAAATGCATTGCAAGTCATTACAATCAAGGTTGCCTTTGTGTGAATTAATCACACATGTAAGCAATGACTGCATTTTGATCAGAGAAGAAATACTGATACCCAGAGAGTTAATAAACTATTGTTAGATAAAGTATGCAACTGAGTCATCTTATCACCATGATAGAAAAAGTACCATTGTTCCACATTTACATCATGTTTTGAAGAATTCATCCCTGACTCTTCTGATTATCTACACAGGTATTGGATGAGGATTAACCTGCCGTGATGAACCAGAGCCAGGTGTCAGAGTCCCTCAGGCAATACCTGACAGTCAGTGATGGGGGCAGGCAGGTGCTCTATGTTCCCGAGGGCTCGTACAAGGGATGGATTCCCCGAGCTCTGTACACATTTGATTTGGACGAGCTGTACCTTCCTTTCCTGAAGCTCCTGTCTTTCCCAGTAGGACATCATGCCCTAGGTACACTGAAGGATATGTTGGTGTTCCAGGCCATTGGGAATTACCTAATCAAATTGCCTTCCTCATTTGCTGAATGTACAAAGCTGGTGCATCTGAACCTAGGATTTAACCATTTTGTTGAAATTCCTCATGCTATATACAGCCTGGTGAATCTTGAGGAGTTGGACTTGGCAGAGAATGACATTCAATCAATGTCTGAAGACATCGGTAATCTTGGAAACCTGCGTGTATTGAACCTCAGTGGAAACAACCTACAAAATGTCCCAGTGCAATTATATAGATGTAAGAAAATTCAGAGACTATACATGTCTGGCAAGTTTTACCCCAGAGGACAGCTAAAGATTGTTCCAGAGGGGGTGTATCGCCTCTCTGAACTGCTGGAACTGGACATGAGTTGGCAGTCTATAGAAACTATACCAGATGGAATTGGTAATCTCCACAAGTTGAGAAGTTTCAATCTGAAGGGCAACAGCCTTATCTATGTATCAAAAGACATTCAGTATTGTAGGAAACTTCACACACTTAATCTTACTGGAGCGCTAAGGTATTGCTCAGTTGTACCCAGTGCAATATTCATGATTGAGGAGCTTCAGTGTCTGTATCTAAGTGGCAACTATTTTACTGAGATCCCCAGTGAGGTATGTGGTTTGAAGAAACTCAAAACACTGCATATCCAGAGGAATGCATTGTTAAGACTCCCTGAAGAACTTTTTAATTTAAAGAACCTAGAGCATATAGACCTAAGTGAGAATTACATAGACAATATTCCTCCTGGTATATCTAAGCTACATAGGCTGTTCTACCTTGGTCTTGAAAGAAACAAATTAACTTCGATTCCAAAAGAGTTGTGCAATTGTAGGAGCCTGCAACATCTGTTGCTGGGTTCAAATCAGCTGACCAATATTCCTGAGAAAATCTGCAAGTTGATGAACCTGACAGAGCTGACCCTTGATAACAACCAACTCACTGAGATTCCTCTGTTGTTGGACAACCTGCAGGGGCTGCTGCAGTCAGGAGTTTTGTATCTGTACAACAACAACCTGAAGAAACCACCACAGGCAATCTGTGATCAAGGAGTTGTCCCACTCTTTCATTTCTTGAAAGAGTTAAGGATCAGTGAGGCTAAGCACAGAAGAAAGATGATACTCATTGGAGCAGTGAAAGCAGGGAAAACAAGTTTGAAACACGCGCTGGTTCTGGGTCATTCCAAGCTGACCCTAGAGCATGAACGGACATGGGTACTTGAACGACATTTATGGGAACCTGAGTCACAGCTGAGAGTTCAGATTCTGGACTTTGGTGGACATCATATCTATTCGGCAGCGCACCACATGTTTCTTACGCCAGAAGCCTTACATGTTCTGGTCTTTGATTTTACTAAGTACAACATGGACTTGTATGATGCATTGATTGGGGACTGGCTGGATGCTATCATGGACAGAGCACCTGGGGCAACCATCATGGCAGCAGGAACTCATGCTGATCTGTGCAGTGATGAAGACATCAATGACAAAACTGAAGATATCCTGCGGAAGATGCATCGAGATGAGAATGCAAAGATTGAAGAGCTGACACAGGAGATTGAGAAGATGAGGAAGATCCTTGAGAAGCCTGAAGTCAAGGATGGAGGAGGAGGAAAGTTCAGTGATATTGGAATTGAACGTCTTCAGGAAAAGATGTACCATATGCAGAAGATGCTGAACACCAGGTCCAAGCTGCCAAGTTGTATCTTTGCTGTCAGCTGTGCTGAAGATTTACTAGGTATGGAAGGATTTAAAGAAAATCTCATAACTCGGTTGAAGGAGACTGAAGAGAAACCTTTACCTGAATCTTGGCACAAGTTCCTTTTGTCTATTCAAAATCATCCAGATAGGATTTTGCCCTTAGAAGAAGCTCTGGACAAATTCATGAACATCATGTCTTCTTTGAATCAGTCAATGATAAGCCTAGGAGGCTCACCTGATCTCAGTCTAGGCATGGTCCTCAAGTACCTCCATTCCACAGGGGAGATTGTTTGGTACCATGAAAATCAGAAGCTCAAAAGTATAGTCTTTCATCGACCAGAAACACTGATTGAAATGCTGAGGGCAGTATTTAGACATGACTTTGAAGAAATAGTCGTCTATGTTGAGGAACATGGCAAAGCTGCAGGTCTGTCACCGAACAAATTTGATATTCTTAAACAAGACTTTATCAGAAAGGGTTTAATGGCATATGAACTTCTCCACTACACACTGTGTCATTTCCAGCTGTCTGCTGATGCACTAGATACCTTTGTGTCACTGATGCTTAAGTTTGAACTTTGCTATGAGGTTCCTAAATCACCTTCTGCACCCTCCTTGATTGGGTCCTCCCGGATTCTCCAGTTCCCTTGGTTTTTCCCAGCAGAGGTTCCAGATTCGCTTGCTACAAGATGGCCAGCAGTCACGCCGCCTAACCAGTTTGAACTTCGTTACACCTTGTCCTTCCCGAGCAAAGGTCCACCTTACTTCTTTGAAAAGTTCTCTGTACGACTTCAGACCCATGTTTCCGATCGCATCAACTGGAAGTTTGGCATTCTTGCGCGGAAAAATCTCAGCAGGTTGTTGATACGTAAAGAGCGAATCTTTGAGCAGGATGTGGTTACCTTGGCCTTCAGGGGGACTGACCTTCAGGAGCTGTGGCAGCTTGTGATACAGACACGGTCCGATCTGCTTGGTCTCCTCCAGGAGTGGCCATTCATCCGGTTTGAGCTGCTGCTGGTGTGCTCCCACTGTATCCTCAAGAACTGTGATGATCCCTACCTGTTCCCAGGAGAGGTCCTGGAGTTCACAGTGCCCAAGGACACTGTGTGGGAGAACTGGTGCCGAAAACACGAGGATGAACTGATGCCGGCATGCTTTGTCTACCCTCTTGATCCAGGTCAGCTAAAATATTATTTCTCCAGATAAACTTTATTGACAAGAATTAGCTGTTTTGTCCCAAATATTTCATGTTGATAAATTGAAACTGTAAATATTAACCTTTGCAAAATCACTCATGAAATAACCATGCTATTAAACTGTTATGGTCATCTCCCACACAAATCTCTCCCCATTTACCAACTTTGACCCATCTCAATGTCTTTTCTCATACACCCTTCCTTCCCCAACAACCACTTCCGAAAGTAGCTTCAGGTCTTTTCTGAGAATGTGAAGTTGACAATGAATTATCTGTGGGGGAGTGGAAGCTTATGATTATCTTCTGTTGCAGACTACCAGGATGACCTGCCTCGTCACATGCAGGCTGCTACAGAGTTCCTGCAGAACTGTGGTGATACAGTGGATGGGGGAGGTAATCAAGCAGTTTGTCATTGCTTCAACGTGGTCAATGTAGTCAATGAGTTCCATTGTTCTGTGCTTCTGTTTATCATACTTCTTAGTCTTAAACTTATGCATGGAACCAGATCTGGGACAGCTGTGTTGGGTCATTGCACTATCGAGGACAATCTTCCACACATGTTTCTCAATTTAAGACTGCTATCGCATGCAGATAAATGCAGATAAATTCCAACCAGACGGCACGACAGAGTGGCAAGTCTAATATGGTGCTAGTTTGGTTTGAAAAGTTGTTAGGCCAGATAATTGGGTCATGATCTACATGCCACTCATGCTAGAAGTTTACGTCCTTTATTTTATGAACTACCCCCTCAAAGTAAATCATCTGTCCAATGATTAGACATGCACTTTTTAAAAGCTTACCTTCCAAGACAAAAAACAGCCCATCTTGGAATGTAGGGCAGGTAGTTATTTTATACACTTTAAATACTGAAGCTTTTTATAGTAACTATCCTATCAAAATATTGAAAGTAGGTGATAGAAAAATTCATTGATTCAAAAGAATTCTGCTATATATTAGAAATTAGTGTTTCATCAGTAGTTTCTACATGTTGTGTTTATATTTATGGGGGGGTACAGAGGATATTTCATGTGTCAAGTAAAATACCATGTTTCTCTCTCGTCGAGTGACGAGGGGAAAGGAGGTATGATATCTCCTTTTCCCCCGTCATGAGATAACATACAGTTCATACATTTAGATATGATTTTATACAAAACCAACTTTAACAAAATAATATTCTTGATAACTAGGAGACCGCTGTTTGAAGTGAAAGAATACACGCTGGTCAAGTAACAAAAATTGCGCTTTGCGAAATTAGAAATTTACAGTTTATAATGAAACATTAGAGAGAATAACGAATGGCAAGAAGTGATATCAACTCCACAAATGACCATCTGTCATTATTTTGCTTTGTCAATGTGGAACTAACATAAAAAGGATGTCAACAGTTGGTGTACATGCTACAGGTTACACATAACCAAATGTTTTTCCATAGACTTCTATAGTAGTGTTATATTTAGAAAAAAATTAACTAAGCATTTAACAGCTGTTACCTGTACATGTGTGCACAGTTTGGCCTTAGAGCAGCAATAAAAACCAAAAAAATGACTAGCTTAGGCAGCTCCTTTTCCGAGTACCGGAAGCTAAACACACCACCCTCAGTTCCGCACCAAATGTCACCTACTTGAAAATATCTGTGGTCACATTCAGCATAAGTCATCATGTTGAAAAAGACAGTACTAAATATAGAAAACATGGTCAGTTTTAATAACTGGATGGATGTACATTTAAAAAACATAAAAATCTTACACAATATGCTCCAATCACAGCCTGCAAATATCTCTCGATCTGCACTGAAGGCTCCCTTTGAAAATGCACTGTCCCAACTGGATCTGATTTGGTGTAGTGGAACCTAAACACTTACGATAAAGGGAGACTATTTAAGGGGAGGTAACTCTTGTATGACAATAGTTCTGTGAAAGTGTTATGTTCACTGCAGTGAAATATCAAGAGTTATTTTCATTGCAATGAAAATATCAAGTGTTATGTTCACTGTAATAAAAATATCACTTTTCTCAACTTCAGAAAACTCAGTTTTTCACACTAAAGTATATAATGAGTGAGTGAGTTTGATTTACGCCGCTTTTAGCAATATTCCAGCAATTTCATGGTGGGGGACACTAGAAATGGGCTTCACACATTGTACCCATGTCGGGAATCGAACCCGGGTCTTCAGCGTGACGAGCGAACGCTTTAACCACTAGGCTACCCGACGGCCCCTAAAGTATATAATAAAAGAGTCACTTGTTTACCCATCCAGGATCTGGCATAAGGGGCATGGCAGGGAAGAATTACTCGTTTCTCTCAGCTGACAGAATTGTCTGATCTTGGGTTTGAGTCCCAACTTCACCCTGATTACTGCTCATGGACTGGGTCCCATTCTAGAGATGCATTCCACCCAGGCATTCAGCTTGTCCACAGACACTTAAAATACAAAAATCTAGTTGTTTTACATTTTCACATACCAGAGTAGATGTATTAAATGCAGCAGACATGTGCACAATGAGTTCTAAACACAGGTTCTTCAGAGAAGATAATCTCTACCAGTGCTAGTCCCTGAACATCTCATCGTCTCTTTCAGGTTTACTGTCTGATGCTGGCCTGGGCTACATTGCATCTCGTCTGGGCTTTGAATGGACACTGATAGCCCTACAACTTGGTCTGAGTCAGGCTCAGATTGAACAGATCCAGATGAAGCACCCACAGAGGCCCTACCACCAGATACACGAGGCTTTGTCCACATGGAGGAATAGGGAGAACGTGGGCAGTGTGGAGGACAGGCTGGCCCAGCTGCTCACTGTGCTGGAGAGCGAGGAGATCGGCCGCAATGACTTAGCTGAGACTCTCAGAGAACGTTTTCATCTATGAACTCCACAATGGCTAGAATAGAAACAATCTCCTCAAGTCGTCTGTTGTACTAGGATCGCAATACTTATCCGGGTTTCTGTTACAAGGATAAGGAGATAACAGTATTCCTCATAATCCTAGATTTGATAGAGTTTTATGCCAAACTAGCATGTATCACTGCCCTGATGAAAGTTCTGTGAGACTGTGTTATTTATTGTTTTTCATTGCATGTATGGTCCTGCTGCAGCATGACGGGTTCATCAGGGTGATTTTACACCACATGGACAATGACAGTTGGACATTCGAGAGATGTCTTGGGTCGTTGTCGGCACGGGTACTACAAATATGTACCCCAGGTATGTTTCTGTATACAGAAATGTACCCTAGCGATCATCAGAATACATAACAGTACCTGGTGACCTATACAGCGGACTGGTCCATATTCCTCAACCCCAAAACAAAACCGGTTCATGTTGTAGTTTCGGTTCGTCAAGTTAAGAGTGCATGCTGGGTAATGCTGTGCGCAGCGGAATATAAGAGTACTATATGTACTTCACTGTGTATGCTCTGTTTGTATATAGTATGCTGGAATGCATACAAGAGTATTACAGTTCCTATCCACAAATTGAGGAAAATCTTCCAAGCTCAGAGAATCGGTTAAGCGCACTGCGCTGTGTGGAATGGTCTTGTCCAGGGGTACCTTTCTATATTCTGATTATCGCTAGGATACATTTCTGTATACAGAAACATACCTGGGGTACATATCTGTAGTACCCGTGCCGGCCAAATTCAGTGACATTACTTTAGTATCCCGGGATGGAGTCTGCATAATATCATTAATGACAGAGCTGTATTGAAAGTGGAAAGAATTGTTAGCCATTACCTTGAGCACACTCTCTGTGCTTTATGTGCCTGGTCATTGTTCATTCAAAACTGGTTGAAATTAAAGCCTGTCACAGTACATAGACACGCTCTCACTCTCTCCAGGGACAGACTGTGCACAACATTGATCCATCAGCCATGTTATAGCTTAGGCATGTCAAGTGAAAAAATCATGCTATGCTACAAACTGGAATGATTAGAATGGCTGGTTCATATAGCTTTCTTCAAATAGAGATTCGACCAGGTCATAATTCTGTAATTGCTCAGACAGAATAAGCAGTGGTGTTGGTGCTTGTATAATAATGTGAATCAAAGGTGACAAGGGGTTTGTGCCTGGACCTTGTGTAGTGTTGGCACACCAGTGGATGGACACCTCGTGCCCCAAGCCAAGGCTTGCTCATCATGCTGCCATGGTGCTGACAGAGGGAGGCCACTTCACTACTTCCAGGTTGAATCCATGCCATCTAAATAGTCATGTACAGAATGGAATTCACTGTGTCTACTTACAAAGTAGTCAAGGTGGTTTGCAGTATGTTACTATGGGCATTCGTTTCTAGTAGACCAGATCTTTGATTTGTAATTCCCTCATGCTGTTTGTTTTCTGTTGATATTAGCACTGCAATAGATGATGCGTTTATTTGTTTGTTTGACGCAGCATACATCTTACTGGTATCTTTCTACTGATGGAAGTTTTTTTGACTGTCATTTAAAGTCAGTGTGTGTCTAAAGTTTATTGTGCAATGCAACAAATAGTAGTGGAGCAGTAAGGGAGGATCATGTGTGAATTATCTCCCTTTGAGTATGTCCTTATCATGCCTTGAACAAAATTCCCTGTTCCATATTTTCTGTTGGGTTGTTTTCTGTACATATCTTTCTTGCTTCCTGTAATTGTGTTGTCAAAATTCACTGCAGGCAGTTGTCTCATATTTGTCACACTGAAAGTGGGGGCACTGGTAGCCCAGTTGTCTATCTCACTGTGATTCGCTGTGCAGAGTTGCGTTCCTTGGGCCCGCCAGAAACCTATGATTGTGGTTTCGAGTCCCGGTTCGCCCCGATTATGTTTCTAGGTTTGTCAGCACCATACCCGTGCTCGTGGGTTTCACCGAAGTGGTAAACGTCTGAGACCTGCATCACTTCAGGCTTTCCTCCCACATAAAGCTGACATGCTGAGATTTAACTGGAAAAAGCAGTGTTAAACCCAACTCACTCACTCACTCACACTGAAAGTTCTTAGCTTTAAAGTTGCTGTGTTGTAAATAAACACAGGTTCTTTTTAGTAACTGAAGATGGTTAATTGCATCATATCTGGTGTCAAATGAACAATATTTCTCTTATGGAGACTTAGGAACACAGCTGTATTCTGGGAATCAACACTGGATCCAACATCACTTGTCTGTGTACTTGTAGATCAAACACCTGCTTTTGTCACCCCTGTGTTAGGCTGCTACTTTTATGTACAAACTTTGAATTTGTAATGTCACCAGTTCATTGTTCATGTAGAACATACTGCCATATCTGCCAAAGTAACTGTGGTCCAGGCAAATGATTGTGATTGTGAATCAACGTGTACAAGTTCATACTTAGCATAAGTATACTGATAGAAATAAATAAGGGAAAACTTTGTTTAAGACACAGTAAATGTTATGGTGTGGGTTCCCAGCCTTGCCTACCAAATACATGTTGGAAACAATGCACACAAACACATCTCAACTTTGAAGTTGAATTTGTATGACACTATTTAAAATGTACTCACAGTAAAGCTTATTTCCTTATTTTTGTTCCTTTTTCATTTTCATCAGTAAACTACATGAGTGAGTATTTGCAACATTATTTTTATATGTTTGTATGTGTGGAAAGCAAAGTTACCTTTCTTAAAATTATTAGACTACTGAAAATTCTTTTCCACGCATTTGATATCAGCAGATGTGCTTTTTGTTTATGATCCAAACAAAAAGGAATTATATTCTTGATTACATAGTTTACTGATCTTTTTTCCAAAATTGTAAGCATGTTAAGGTCTTTGGTCAGAATATCTCACAAACATTTTTTAAGTACTCTCTTTAAAGATTGTTGGATGACATGAAGAAAAATATTAAGAATATTCTGATACTTTTACGTTTCTCCAAGCACATCCGTGTACCAAGTAATTAATCAAAAATGGCCAATGCACAAAAGAAGTGTAAACGAAGAACTTCATAAATCATGATTAGTGCTATTGATAGATATGCCATAATAAAATGCTGTTGTAGAATTATTGATTTACCGATGTAAGAGATCTTATGTTCATTCCACAAGACAATCCTAGCTTCACAATGACTCCTCTACTTCACATGGACACATGATATTGAGTGCCGTAGTGCTGTGATCCCTTTGTCGGCCGACCTGAATACTGTAAATCTTGAAATTAATGCGAGCGGGAATTAAATGTGCAAAATGCAAGTTGTCTTTGCTCGCATTATCAAACATCGCATTCATATCAACAATAAGACATTTTGGATAGCAGAAATACCAACTTAGACATACACTGAAAACAAACAACTATGTATTCCACATCACTGTTTATTCAGTTTATTAATGTAAGGTTGGATTAAGGTGAGGATTCTCCTTATTATAAACCGGACATAAATCCACTGATGCTTGAGAGAAGTGGGTGTCGCAGTCATATTGTCGCATTTTTGGCAAGGGGGCAGTGGTTGCATTCTTTTGGAGATGTATTTATTTATTATAAGTATGCAACCAAGCAGAGGACTGAGTAACACAGTTGTGTCAGGGGCTGCTGGAGTATGTGAGGTCAGGAGGATATGGTAGCAACATATTGACTGACCTGAATATGCAACCAAGCACAGGACTGAGTAACACAGTTGTGTCAGGGGCTTGGCAGGGTCCTGCAATCTTGTTTTGAATGCTAGATTTGCCCTGTTTTCCGTGTTTATCTGCACCACACCTGTGCTCAGGGTGTCTCACCAGTTGTGGTGGCATGGAAGGCCCAAACATTTATATGATTCTTAGGAAATGGGAGGGAGTCCCAGATTCACCAAGATTGTGATCCTTGCTTTGTTGGCAACTAGCTTCCATATAAAGTCGACCTGTGATGTAACTGAAATACTATTTGAAATGATATCAAGTCAACTCACTCACACACACAGTCAAAATGCAAGAGGACATCTTGGCAGTTTATTGAGATTCCCATCATATGTAGAGTACCACACCTCCCTTTGCATATGTGGATATTTTACCACATTTTTCATCTGTTGAGACTGTCAATGTGACCCATCGCATTCACTATCTCTTTGTGTAGTCATTCCCAGAGAATGTGTGTGGTTTGTAGCACTATCTCTGAAGGAGTGTTGCACTGAAGGTTGGCAAGGAATGCTGGTGTTAAGACTTGATGAGATTAACATTTGCTGACGACACCTGTTTGAGCCAGTCACAATGAGGATTCTTATGTATAATTCCTGACCACATTCTTTTCAAATTTTTACCAAGTATGCTGTAGATTTACTGCCTTTGAAATCGTGGTAGATTGGACAAATGTTGCTTATTGAATCATGGTCTGTGCACACTATGATAGCATGTAGAAACCTTTAGGAATAAAATACAGTTGTAAGTATTAAGCTGATGTAGGCAGATTAAGGTTCTAAAGATTTGTCTGTCTGCATTTGTCAGGTGTGAAAGTGTCCAACCAACACTTGTCAAGTTATTTCCCATCTCAAAAGCAGACAGTCTGTGTAACCTGCCTGGGGGGGACAAGTTTGTTGAATCTTCAACTCTGATACTGATCCTAGCATTGGCTGTATTGTCAACAAAGAATCCACTCCCATAACAAGCTGGCTGCATGCTGATATGATTGTAATTTGTAGTGGGGGTAATGCAGTAGTCTCTTGCTTGTTTTCTACATGTAGTTTATGCAATACCAGTTGATAGGTATAGATGTATCATGTTTTATTGATGGAAAGACTTTGTTTTGTGTGTTTTCTACTCAGTGCTGGTGATATTGTTACGTGTGATTTCCGACCGAGATTTAACCCAGTAGTATTTTGTCAGCAGGTACATGTTACATAGTGTACATAAGCATAATGCTATAATCTGAATAAACTATATACATCCTCATGTCATTGTGTCCCTCCTTGATGCACACTCCGGGCAAGTGACATGTTACATAAGGAGCCATTGTCAAGCCAATAAAATGGATTCCCCTCAATATATGTCCCAACAAGAAGTAAACCTCTTTCCAACTCATTCTGGTCATAGGAACTTATCACCTTTGATGAAACCCTGTAGTGATACTATATTCTCAACATCCTATAGGTCATGAGAGATTGTTTTGTGTACATGACACCGGCAATGGTACTGTTGTTGACACACATACCTGGCCACTTTGGGTCAGTCTTACCCTGCATAAGGAGTTGGGTGGTCCACAGTACCCAATGTTTGTACAGATGGGGATAGGGTGGTCCTCGGCACCCTATGCTTGTACAGGTTAAGATGCGGATAGGGAGGGCTCAGTACCCCATGCTTGTACAGGTTAAGATACGGATAGGGAGGTCCTCATCACCCCATGATTGTACAGGTTAAGATGGGGATAGGGAGGTCCTCATCACCCCATGCTTGTACAGATGGGGATAGGGTGGTCCTCAGCACCCCATGCTTGTACAGGTTAAGATGGGGATAGGGAGGTCCTCATCACCCCATGCTTGTACAGGTTAAGATGGGGATAGGGTGGTCCTCATCACCCCATGCTTGTACAGGTTAAGATGGGGATAGGGTGGTCCTCAGCACCCCATGCTTGTACAGATGGGGATAGGGTGGTCCTCAGCACCCCATGCTTGTATAGGTTAAGATGGGGATAGGGTGGTCCTCATCACCCCATGCTTGTACAGGTTAAGATGGGGATAGGGTGGTCCTCAGCACCCCATGCTTGTACAGATGGGGATAGGGTGGTCCTCAGCACCCCATGCTTGTACAGGTTAAGATGGGGATAGGGAGGTCCTCATCACCCCATGCTTGTACAGGTTAAGATGGGGATAGGGTGGTCCTCATCACCCCATGCTTGTACAGGTTAAGATGGGGATAGGGTGGTCCTCAGCACCCCATGCTTGTACAGATGGGGATAGGGTGGTCCTCAGCACCCCATGCTTGTATAGGTTAAGATGGGGATAGGGTGGTCCTCAGCACCCCATGCTTGTACAGATTAAGATGGGGATAGGGAGGCCCTCAGCACCCCATGTTTGTACAGGTTAAGATGGGGATAGGGTGGTCCTCGGCACCCTATGCTTGTACAGATGGGGATAGGGTGGTCCTAAGTACCCCATGCTTGTACAGATAGGGATAGGGTGGTCCTAAGTACCCCATGCTTGTACAGATTGGGATAGGGTGGTCCTCAGCACCCCATGCTTGTACAGGTTAAGATGGGGATAGGGTGGTCCTCATCACCCCATGCTTGTACAGATGGGGATAGGGTGGTCCTCAGCACCCCATGCTTGTACAGATGAGGATAGGGTGGTCCTCAGCTCCCCATGCTTGTACAGGTTAAGATGGGGATAGGGTGGTCCTCAGCACCCCATGCTTGTACAGATTCAGATGGGGATAGGGAGGCCCTCAGCACCCATGTTTGTACAGGTTAAGATGGGGATAGGGTGGTCCTCGGCACCCTATGCTTGTACAGATGGGATAGGGTGGTCCTCAGCATCCCATGCTTGTACAGATGGAGAGAGGGTGGTCCTCCGCACCCTATGCTTGTACAGATGGGGATAGGGTGGTCCTCGGCACCCTATGCTTGTACAGGTTAAGATGGGGATAGGGAGGTCCTCAGCATCCCATGCTTGTACAGGTTAAGATGGGGATAGGGTGGTCCTCGGCACCCTATGCATGTACAGATGGGGATAGGGTGGTCCTCGGGCACCCTATGCTTGTACAGATTAAGATGGGGATAGGCTTGTCCTCGGCACCCTATGCTTGTACAGGTTAAGATGGGGATAGGGTGGTCCTCGGCACTCTATTCTTGAACAGATGGGGATAGGGTGGTCCTCGGCACCCCATGCTTGTACAGATGGGGATAGGGTGGTCCCCGGCTCCCCATGCTTGTACAGATTGTGATAGGGGGTCCTCAGCACCCCATGCTTGTACAGATGGGGATAGGGGGTCCTCGGCACCCTATGCTTGTACAGATGGGATAGGGGGTCCTCAGCACCCCATGCTTGTACAGATGTGGATAGGGAGGTCCTCAGCACCCTATGCTTGTACAGGTTAAGAAGCGGATAGGGAGGGCTCCTACCCCATGCTTGTACAGGTTAAGATGCGGATAGGGAGGTCCTCAGCACCCCATGCTTGTACAGGTTAAGATGGGGATAGGGTGGTCCTCAGCACCCCATGCTTGTACAGATTAAGATGGGGATAGGGAGGCCCTCAGCACCCCATGCTTGTACAGGTTAAGATGAGGATAGGGTGGTCCTCGGCACCCTATGCTTGTACAGATGGGGATAGGGTGGTCCTCAGCACCCCATGCTTGTACAGATGGGGATAGGGTGGTCCTCAGCACCCCATGCTTGTACAGATGAGGATAGGGTGGTCCTCAGCACCCCATGCTTGTACAGGTTAAGATGGGGATAGGGTGGTCCTCGGCACCCTATGCTTGTACAGATGGGGAGAGGGTGGTCCTCAGCATCCCATGCTTGTACAGAGCGAGAGAGGTTGGTCCTCGGCACCCCATGTTTGTACAGATGGGGATATGGTGGTCCTCGGCACCCTATGCTTGTACAGGTTAAGATGTGGATAGGGAGGGCTCAGTACCCCATGCTTGTACAGGTTAAGATGTGGATAGGGAGGTCCTCATCACCCCATGCTTGTACAGGTTAAGATGTGGATAGGGAGGTCTTCAGTACCCCATGCTTGTACAGGTTAAGATGGGGATAGGGAGGCCCTTAGCACCCCATGCTTGTACAGGTTAAGATGGGGATAGGGAGGCCCTTAGCATCCCATGCTTGTACAGGTTAAGATGGGGATAGGGTGGTCCTCGGCACCCTATGCTTGTACAGATGGGGATAGGGTGGTCCTCAGCACCCCATGCTTGTACAGGTTAAGATGGGGATAGGGTGGTCTTCAGCACCCATGCTTGTACAGATTGGGATAGGGTGGTCCTCAGCATCCCATGCTTGTACAGATGGGGATAGGGTGGTCCTCAGCACCCCATGCTTGTACAGATGAGGATAGGGTGGTCCTCAGCACCCCATGCTTGTACAGATTAAGATGGGGATAGGGAGGCCCTCAGCACCCCATGTTTGTACAGGTTAAGATGGGGATAGGGTGGTCCTCAGCACCCTATGCTTGTACAGATGGGATAGGGTGGTCCTCAGCATCCCATGCTTGTACAGATGGAGAGAGGGTGGTCCTTGGCACCACATGTTTGTACAGATTGGGATAGGGTGGTCCTCCGCACCCTATGCTTGTACAGATGGGGATAGGGTGGTCCTCGGCACCCTATGCTTGTACAGGTTAAGATGGGGATAGGGAGGTCCTCAGCATCCCATGATTGTACAGGTTAAGATGGGGATAGGGTGGTCCTCGGCACCCTATGCATGTACAGATGGGGATAGGGTGGTCCTCAGGCACCCTATGCTTGTACAGATTAAGATGGGGATAGGCTTGTCCTCGGCACCCTATGCTTGTACAGGTTAAGATGGGGATAGGGTGGTCCTCGGCACTCTATTCTTGTACAGATGGGGATAGGGTGGTCCTCGGCACCCCATGCTTGTACAGATGGGGATAGGGTGGTCCCCGGCACCCCATGCTTGTACAGATGGTGATAGGGGGTCCTCAGCACCCTATGCTTGTACAGGTTAAGATGGGGATAGGGTGGTCCTCAGCACCCCATGCTTGTACAGATGGGGATAGGGAGGTCCTCGGCACCCTATGCTTGTACAGATTAAGCTGGGGATAGGGTTGTCCTCGGCACCCTATGCTTGTACAGGTTAAGATGGGGATAGGGTGGTCCTCAGCACCCTATTCTTGTACAGATGGGGATAGGGTGGTCCTCGGCACCCCATGCTTGTACAGATGGTGATAGAGGGTCCTCAGCACCCTATGCTTGTACAGGTTAAGAAGGGGATAGGGTGGTCATGGGGAGAAACCCGCAAAATGGGAAGTTATTCTGATAAATATGGAGCAAACTTATCTTTATTTACTGTCGTATCCATTTTGCCAGGCCGAATGAAAGAATTTTTAGATTTGGGATTTAATCATGTCTTCAACCAATCAGATTGCAGCACAAATTCTTTCATTACACAATACCCACTACATTTGTTTGTACGACAGCTGTCATGTGGATGACTGGTCCACACATTCTCCAGCTTGTCATCATTATTCAAAGAGCCTTTCTCTAGCCCCCCAAACTTACCAAATAAACACTTGTATATTGTTTAGTGTAGTCTGCTATATCACACTGGCCTGTTAAGTATCAAGTCTTGGCCAGGCAAAAGAGTGGTCGATAGTATGATAAATGTTCCACACCATTTGTGGTCCAATGGTTGAAGTAAGTGAGAGAATATTGCACCACAAAGCAGTGTTCAAGCTTTGGGTATCCTGGAGCAGTAGGGTGTATCACAGTAACCTCTGCCAAGCCAGTGAGTGGCTGATGACACAACCAATGATCAAGTCCATAAAGGTATGATGACTCACAACTCGTTATTCAGTCATTGTGTCCACATTGCCCTCACTGTATGTAACTCTTCAGACAAACATGGGGTGTGCCCAGGGTGGCAGTAACCACGGTGCAATAGAAATGTGTCAATAAGCTACCAGAATCAGCTGATGGAGTGCCAGCCTTTGTTCAAAGGCCTTGGACAGCAGAATGGTGGTGGTTCAATCCCTGGACAAGTCAAGCCAAAAGACATTAAAAGATGGTACTTGTTGTAACCCTGTCTGACACTCAGCATTATGGTGCTAACTCATTGACTAGCACTATACAACTGCCACTATAAACCAGACTTGTACCAGCAGACACACACTCACACACACAGGTATGTCCATCGCCATATCACAAGTGTAATAATCTTGAAACACGATGGTAACCACCAATTCACCTTTTCGTTCATTGACCTAAATGGGAAAGTATATTGATTCTATTTTCAAGTTTTCTGGATATTATTACCAAAGCTTCACATAGAAGATCAGGTTATTTATTTAATTAATTGAGCAAAGCATAATTGAAAAATTGTAACAGAATAATGTATTCTCAAGATATGTACATTTGTGCCACATTTTGTGATTAACAATATAAACAAAGTGATATAGATTGATGTACCTCATCAGAAACCTGGGAATAGGTACATGAGGAGACAAATAAATACCTCTCCAGCCAAATATTCAACATATACCCAGTCAAATTCATAGCATGTGTCAGACCCAATAAGACCTAACTGATACACCATAATAATAGATGATCCATAAAAAAATATATCCTTTGTCAGATGGTCCATAGGACCTATAGATTCTACATACCTCACCATGACAATATGCCATTTGAGGACATATTCAGCTAATGAATAAAACATGTGTATCTAAGATTCCCTATCGAGATCTGAATTATACCTTTGTAAAGTAGGTATTTAATCAAAAGAAAAAATCCAGTTTCCAATACGCAAAAACTCGTGCAACCATTTAATGTGATTCACACACTCCCCTGAAGACCCTCAGACGTTACCTTAACGTTGTTACACAGCTGTAAACAGAAGAACAGATCAATAACAAAGCAGATAGTACATGGAGCCAAAATACGCTGAACCATTTCCCAAGGCATCGATCACTTCATCGAGGATAACAAACTAAACTATTGGCCAATTTTAATGTCCTCTGTTCAGAGTTCAAAGTTCACCTAGTCTATCTCTTTACCACCGCAATTTTCCGGGACAAAACTTCTCGACAAGTTCGCTGTAATATGGCAGAATACTGTCAACATCTGGCATGTCTGGTGACTTTGTGTACAGGTCGAACTGGTTGAATTCGTTGACCCATTTCATCATGTCAATGTCCTTGTTGCTGCACAGGTGTCTGTAGGCACCGCACGAATGCCAGGGATAAAAGGAATGAAAGCGAATCATGTACAGCGCTTCCTCGGGCAACGTGCATCCGTTAGCTTTGAGGACACGATACAGATATTCGTCGTGGCCCCATGACATGGTCACGTTGGCTAGTCCACAGTTTTCAGAGTAGATTCCAAGTTTCGTGTTCAGCTTGTCATTCTTCATGTCGGGGTTCTTGCTGAAACTTTCTAACCCGAACACAATGGACTCGTCCGGTAAACATCCAACGGGAAAGGTGTCCCCCACCACCGCCCACTGAGGCTCACCCCAGAGTGCCATCATCTTGCCGAGGTCGTGAATCAAACCCGTCACTTGGAACCATGTGTTGGTCGGGTGCTTTTGTCGTATTGCCTCGGCTGTCTGAAATGCGTGTAGCGAATTTGGAAAATCAACATCAGGATCGCTCTCATCGACCAGTCCATTGAGAGCCTCGATCGCTTCTAAGATTGTCATTTCTGCATGGTTAAATTTTGTCCAGCTCTCGAGGCGGTTTTTAGCATATTCAAGTGTCTGGTTTGTGTGCATCAAATCGTAAGTCCTGAATACTCTTTCGGGGACGGTGTGAATACGAAAATCTCTGAAATCACTTTCCTTCTTGTTCTCAGGTCGATATTCAGAGGGATCAATTAATGGAATAGGCTCAACTGCGACCGACATCATGAAATATTCCCACGTTATAGTCTATACACAATATCAAGCTCTACTGGGTAGGTCTTGACCGAGCGACAGTCCGTAACCAAGTGAATCATTCTCGATTACGTGCCAACTTTTATACCTGCTGACTAGATCTATATGATCCAGCTGGAACTGGTTTTCGTGGGTTTGAGAGTACCACCGATGCACGACCCCTTGTGTATCGGAACTAAAGGACATATATATATATATATTGGCTGGCGCTTTCAACGAGTCTCATCAGGCCATAACTGAATAAAGGACATGAAGTAGTAACATATATATAACTTTAGGTGACGTCATAACATTAAGGAGATCTCTATATATTATAGGCCATAATATGTGCAAGAAATGATTTGCTGAGACCGTATTTATATTAAAACATATTCTTATTTATAAACAATTTGGAACATAAGTTTCTTTTGACGCGTGGACAAGAAGAAGCTCAACCGCGTTTCTGTTAATTGTGTATGGGATATTTCCGCTCTCAAGCATCACGCACCATTGCACCCTCGCACATTGCGCTTTCGTACTGACCTACTTTAGGTGTTTACAGTTTGGAGGGTCTAAATGGGTAGGATTGACATGTTAGGGTGTTATTTTTAAGATTCATTTCGCTTGTTGGCTGAGCGTACACACAATAAATAATTGCAAGTCATCCCGTGGCATTTGGTTGGATAACAATGCAAAAATAAAGAATATTTCAGGCCACCGTTAACAAACAATACTGTTTCCTTACAGATAACAGAATGGCGGGGCTTGTGTTCCATTATTGCTAAGTAAGGATAAGAATGTATGGGTGACCAACTTCTTTATTACAGTAAGAGCGACGTTTCGGTGTAGGTTCTAACACCGTTATCCATTATTGCTCTCAACGATATGTCACTGATTTTGTATTGTTGTCAACAGCGTTTTTGTTCGTGTTAATCATTCAATGTGCAGTCCGTGAAGTTATTAGTGTTGAAATATTTATTTATAAGAATTGATTTCAATATGTTTGGGTAATGGAGGTATGAAAGTGCGGTATAAAAATGTAAGTATTTATAGCCTAACGCAGCACATGTGAAATGTTTATTCACTTTCTCTTTCCTTTTGCATGAGAGGTGCTTGCAAACTGCACAAATAACAGCATTATTAATTGAATCCCTTGTCATTGTAAATTGAGGTAATTGATGTGATGTGGTGTTGCAAATTGCACAAATAACAACACGCGTTAAATACTTTGTCAATCGGTCACACAGTACTGTTTACCACGCATGACACAACGAATGAGTATTTGCATCAGTGAACTTCTACAGGAACAGCCGAAGAGAAGGATTTATAAGACAAGCGAAGGACACTCACATTCCTATTAATTAACAGGGATATGGGGTCAAACATATATTTGTGTCTTTGTGAGGCATTTGGAAGTTGGAACAGTAATCTGTTTTTGTGGATCTATTATCTTACTAAAAGAATTGTTAAGATTTTAAGATAAGAAAAATACATTAAAAAAATACAATTAATACCTAAATGTGGCAAGGGATAAGCTGTGTACTGGATCATTGTGTTGTTTAAAGCTGTCATTTTGGCAGACAAACAGACAGACAGTTTGTTTAAGTCTAACTTTAGGTATCATAAGCAGGTTACAACATATACAAATGTACAGCCAGGTATGGAATACTGTAAGTGACATTCTCGCGATCTCGACCTTTGGAAACGAGCTAAATATGCCCAAAACACGTGAATGCGCCAAAATCTCGCGTTCTCCCGATCTTGCATTCTCGTGTTTTTTTGATACATAGCACAATTTGTCAAACGTCGACAAAAAGTCGACAAAAGTCGTAGTATTATAAGGTCAAGGCGCATGCGCACTTTAGTAGTCCCGTCCCGCTTCGTTCATGGTCTTCATTCTCCAAGTAGCATGTAGCAAACTTATGACTTGAGCTTGAAAATGCTATGTACTTTACATACACAATGTCTAACAATGTTATATTTGGGATAACACTTTCTTAGTAAAGTACAGATTCTCGTACTTTTTTGGGGTTGAGTGCAGTCCGGGATTCGAACCCACAGTTGCCAGAGTGAGGCACCTAATCGCCAGCACACAAAGTCAGCGATCTAACCAACTCAGCCACCGCGGCTTCTACAAAATGAAAGTCCGACAACTGGTAGTCTAGATCACCTACTTTGAGTACCCCTCTGACAAGTGTAAATTGGCACGGCTCCCATGGCCGAAAGCTATGAATACACAATGCCATTACTAAGAAAGTGTTATCCCAAATATAACATTGTTACATTTGACCACTTTCTAAATGGCATTGTGTATTCATACACAAAGTCCTAAGTAGTGAAGAGTAGGGTACTCTCCCTTTGGTACAGTTTCTTATGTACTTTAAGTTAAAACCCTTAACATGCTCAATATAATTTAACAAAAGAAATTGTGTACATGGATGTCCTGTGATAGTGACAACATTAAAGTGTCCGGAAGGCTGGAAACAAAATATCACTGAAAGCTAGAAAGTAAATATTGCTTAAAGCCACATCAGCACTATTGCAGCTATTCTGGGCTGCACTGTCAGTTACAGAAATAATCGTCCCCCGCCGTGATATTGCTGGAATATTGCTAAAAGCGGCGTAAAACCATACTCACTCACCCACTCACTACTACAGAAATAATCACAGGCCAGTTATTTTCTCCATGAGGCAATATTATATACACGAATATTATATTTGGGATAACACTTTCTGAGTAAAGTACAGATTCTCTTACTTGTTTTGGTGAGTCACGTCCGGGATTCGAACCCACACTGCCAGAGTGAGGCACCACATCGCCAGCACATATAGTGTCAGAGGGGTACACAAAGTAAAATAGTTACATTGACAATTGACACAAAAGCGCGAGATCGCGTCATTGGTCAAGTGTCGCGATCTCGCATTTTCGCGTTTTTTACAAAGGTTACATATGACAGTTTGAGTCGAAACATGCAGCGCTTGCCAATCAGAATTCGCGTAGGAATTGTGGTATTTTGATAAATAATTTCCCGCAATTAATCAGTTTAATACTCAATTTGATAATTAATTGAAATTAATCACCACTTGAAACAATTTATTAGGTACCTCTCTCAATATAAAACCCAATGAGTTCAGTTCATTTGTGATTTTTACACATTTGTCTGTAATGTACAAAGGTAAATGTTCACGAAATTCAACTATTTGTCTGTTTGTAATAGTTGTCTGATAAGTCCATGGTTGCTACTGGTAATCCAGGATAAGTTGAACCAACTCAAAAAGCGCATTTGAGACAAGTAGGCGGTGCACAGAATTTGTGCAAACATATTTGGTTTGTTACAGTTAGAGAGGGTGCACGCATGTTGTGCACGTGCAGGCCATGACCTTGAAATTGACTACGCTCCCGTGGACACACGAGTTGCTCATAAAATTATTACGAGGTCGGTTTGAGAAGTCGATAACAGGATTCTCTATAGTCCTTTGATAGAAGTTAATTACAAACAAACATGTCAAAGCTTAGTAAGCATGGCCAAATCATACATTCTTCTACCGTTTTTACAGTCATCCGGTATCGCACATCAGCACGTACTAGTATGTGCTATTGAACTGGCCGCCAGAACTCGTTGTTAGCCGAGACAGGACACGTCATATCCATCAGACAACGCACCAGTAATCGGGCCTCATACATAGTCAAACAGGACTAATTGTCAGGTCACTAAACTTATCCAGGCTTACCATTATGGACATTGAATATGGGACATATGGGTAACTGAAAAAAAAGTACATGCATTTCTATTATTAGTTCTAAAGATTTTCGATGTGTTGTTAGCTGTTCAGTTTTATTTAAAGCCTGAAATGCATGACATTGGTCAGAACATTTACCTGAATGATAAGCGGGAGAGATGTCACAGTGCCGGTCTTCACAAGCGGCTGGAACGGGTTACTGCACTCATTTACTGTGGAAAGACATTGTTTATCAAATTCAGTTTGTAAGGTAATCGCATAGTAGTCAAAAACTTGGTGTGGGATGTAAAACGGAATAAATTGAAACAAATGTTCATATTGTTTTAATAATGCCTGTGTCGATTAAACATTTTGGGAATATATTATATTGTAAATTAATTTTGACGAACATAAAGTTTGCCGCGATATTGATGCATCGCATTGAAGGTTTCTTGTTTTCATATACATGTACTGTACGTGTATGGGGCCTGGTTTTGTGTCTCCGGCAGTCATATTGCAGATTCGCCTGTCATGCCGAAGGCCCGGGTTCGAATCCCCCATATGGGTTCAATGTGTGAAGCCCATTTCTGGTGTCCATCGCCGTGATATTGCCGAAATATTGCCCAAAACGGCGTGACACCATACTCACTCACTCATATTGCAGAAGAATTGCTATAAGCGGCGTAATACCATACACATGCACTCACTGAGTGATATTTTCAACATTTTCACAACCACTGATATAACATTGATGTGTAACTTATGCTTTAAGAATATAAACGCCGCTTCCTCTCTACAGACAAATGTCATGAAAACTCTTGTTTATTTTCACATATCATATAGTATTTGTGGTTCTGGTATAATATTTTAAGCAGCATACTGAGTTCATCCACACAGTTTTCATTTATAACCCGTTCATCATTTAATATCGCGTTATTGGGGGTCTCGGGATGTTAGTGATGCTCAATTTACGGGTAACGACTATTCAGTACTGAAATACTCGATATCTTTTAATCTTATCAGAAAATGAGCTAACAAATGTGCAAACTTGCATTGACTTTACATCTCAACTTCTTCCCGTAGATTTACACGCGACGGCGATAGAGACTGAGTCCAGCTGCACGAAGCCGGAACGAGATCAGCTTTGGAAATGGAGGCCTGAACGTACGAACTCCCAGCTTGGCGCAAGTTGACGACGCGCGTAGAGTATCAGCTTACAGAAAAAAAAATCTCTAAACTTGGCGTTGTCAAGTTGCGATATTGTGATATCAAGAGACGGGGCTCAACTTATTAAAATCTCAAGCTCTCTCTTGTCCCTAAAAAATAATGTACTCTCTTCAACTTGTTTTATGTTATGCCACGCATACTTTGACTATTGTAGTAACCGCATCTCTGGATTTTGTGACCTGTAATTGTCCATATAT